CTGCACAAGCTCGGGCTCCTTCCCCACCAGCGAGGTGACATTCCATGTCCCCAGGGCTAGTCTCTGTGTCCAGAGATCGGGTCATCGGGGCCCCTGCCTTCGACTGCTGTCCAATCCACTGTGCAAATAACATTTTAATTTCATAAAACGTTTTTAAAAACTTCTTAAAAACAGGAAATTTTAGCACCTACAAGTTCATGATAAATTCATCTACTGAGGAAGAGCATGTGATACATGACCAGAGCTAAGGGGGTGGCCAAGGGGGCCCAGGGGGCCCAGGGGTGGCAACTGATTGGCTGCCCCTGGTGCCACCCCTCCCAGAGTCAAAATATGATGTTTGTCAGTATTAATGAATGAAAATTTTAAAACAATGACAAAATGTTGCCTTAATTACAACAAATTTTTTTCTGGTGATATTGGTCAAAAAGAAAAGCTTCAGAACAGCTACTAAACTGTCCTGGTTCATAATTTATTTATGGTCCAATATATCCATTTGTAAAGTATAAAGTACTAATATATCAATTTTATTAATCCATCCATTATCTACACTGCTTATCCTAACAAGGGTCATGGGGGGAGATACACCCTGGACAGGTCCCCAGTCTATCACAGGAAATGACACTTAGAAACAGACCCATACATACCCACACTCAATCAGGCAATTTAGAGTTGCCAGTCAACCTAATCTGCATGTCTTTGGACTGTGAGAGGAAGAAAGGAAAGAGTACCCAGAGAGAACCTAGACAGGCACAGGGAAAACATGCAAACTCTGCACAGACAGGCCCCAGGTTAGCTTGGACTTGAACCTGGAACCTTCTGGCTATGAGACAACAGCACTAATCACTGTTCCACCATAATTTTATTAATTCATTTTTCTTATTGCATTATTAAATAGAAACAAATGATTTGCTCTATAACCGTGTGTATGGCTCTTTAGGTCCTCCACATTAGGATGCAGGGAACAGTTTAAGGTTTCCATAGCCTTAGGAGGCCATCTTCGCAGTATGTGGCAATCAGATTCTCATGTGGGTGGTGAGCGATGCCAATTACATCTTTTTCATGAACCTGTGGGTGCAGAAGAAGACATATCACACATTCTCTAGTCCTCATCAGCCTGACTATTTTCTACAGCCTTACTGACTGCTACACAGCAGTAATTACACAAAGTATTAAGTCAGACAAAAAGAAAACTCGTTGAAGAGATTTAATAAACCACATTTCACACATGTGTGGATGAACTGCCTCTTCTCACAGGCTTTGATAAAGAGTGAATATTAGCAGCAGAGCTTACAGTCAGGGTTTTCTCCAGCCTTCCTGTCAAAGCGTTGAAACAGTACAGCACCAAGTCCTCTCCCACACAGTAAATCCACTCCCCGCGGGGTGACAGGGTGCAACACACAAAATCTGCTCCTTCCTTTCTATCTGAACTGAGGGTCTTCACAGTCTGAAGAGACAGAGAAGACACGGAGCTTCTACAGAATTCATTAGATAATCATTAGTTGCTGAGAATTCTATATTGTAAACACAGTTATTCTTGATATCTGTGTAAGCACCTTTTGTTCATTTGTTTTGAATGATGATTATGGATAGATAGTAAGTCACAGAACTCTCACCTGGCCATGCACGCTCATGATGACCACTGTGTTGGAATGGTTGCAAACCACAAACTGCTCGGGATTTTGGGGCAGAGGGATCACACTGTTGACAGGGACCTCTGATACCCGGTACATAGGTTTGGAAGTGTGAATGCATTCACAAGTCTTTGTGTTCCATATCTAAAGAATGAGATGGATACACACTGCACTATAGTACAGCACTTTCCTCACTATGTGATAATATTGATGCATCACAGACCTTAAATTCTAGTCTGGTAATTTGGATCCATTTTGAAGTTGGTCATTATACTGTACCTTAACAGTTCCATCAGATGAGGCGCTGATGATGTGAGATCCATCTTCAGTGAAAGCTGCATCATTTACAAATGAAGAATGGCCATTTAACTCCATCAGTGTCTTTCCTGACCGCAGTTCATGGATTCTGAAAATGGCATTGTTGGATAATGACAAAAACAGTTAAAAAGACAAAATAATAATAATTAATGAAAAAATAGTAAATATGACATATACAGCAGCAGCACCGACTCATAAATAAATCCATGTTGATTTGAATTAAGAGGGGATTTTGTTGAGACCAGACAGAACTTGTTGCTGAACTCCTGGTAATTAATTTTTGGCCTCTATAGAGTGACTGGCTGCATATTAACTAAACCATGACAAAACGCTTAATGCTTGCTGATTCACCCTTGTCTCTGGGAGGATGACTTAGCTTATGTAAACAATTCAGACTCCAAGCTTGTGGAATTGCAAGCACAGGAACACATTGCAGCTTTATTCCTAAGCATATGGTATGTCAGCTTCACCCACACAGCGCATGTGGGTCCAATAACTGAGAGGCTCAGCCCACACCCCCCAGGAATCAGAAATAGATATTCAGTGCCACAGCAATGAATGGGACACTGTGTGTGTGTGTGTGTGAGAGAGAGAGAGAGAGAGAGAGAGAGAGGAAGTAAAAGACAGACATCCTGGCCCTATGAAGGTACGGCATATTTATCTTCATGTTCACTATGGATGCAAGCAACATCTAATACTTTCTGAAAGAATGCCATTTAAAAATGTCTTCTTTTGAGTACCCTGGGGATTTTCTGGGCCTAACATGCCTGAATCAAGAGCTAGAGATAATCAGATGGGTTCAGTTAAGTATAACACCATTTTTAGCAATACATCACAACTCGCTCTAGCAGACAGTTAATAACCACTGAAAAGATAAAGAAGGGATTTACAAATGTAAGAATAAAGCTTTTCAAGGTGAATCATATTTTCAGTGGCAGTTCTGTTATTATTTCTGTGCCCTTGTGGCAACATTTTGCTAATCCACTGTGGGTTGCATAAAGAGCTCATTGGCTTCCAGCTGAAATATGTCTGCTTGCAAAATTTGGGTGAATCATGTCTGAGGTCAGTGAGAGCTCTCACTTCCTCCCACAGTAGGCAAGCAATGTTTTGACACAACAAGACTCCAGAATTTGAAAAGAAAACTTCCAATCATGCCTTTCCTGTTTTATTTCTCATATTCCTTGTACTAAACAAAACAAATATTCATGCGTATGTTTTGGTCCTAGCTAACAACTTTGCTTTGCAGTGTGTTCATTCTAATGTTACATCCCACCTGATGGTCTGGTCAAAGGAGGCACTGAGGATCTGGTTGTTGTCCTTGGAGAAGCTCAAACAAGTCACACCTTTGTTGTGAGCATTCTCAAACCTGCGCAGGCACAAGCCACTCTGGATCTTCCACACCTTCCCCACCAACACACACAGACATGCACGCTTTATTAAAAACATTAAACATTATTAACTCACTACTGGATTTTCAATACTTTGATTCTGTTGTAGCATCTTTTTACACTTCCATGCAGTGATAAGACTTACAGTCTAAACACATCTGGACTGCTGAACACCTACTAGGAGAGCTGTGGCTCCACCCAATGTGCACATTTTCCTGCATGTTTATCAGATGCGGTGTCACTTATTACATTATTATTATTATTATTACCTCTCTGACCCTTGAATGTGATTGGTAAATGGTCTTATACTTGTATAGTGCTTTTCTATGCATTGCAGCACACTCAGAGCGGACACTTCAACTGGACAAGCCGGGAATTGTACCTCTAATCTTCCAGTTAAGAGACAACCCACTCTAACCCCTGAGCCACAGCCACCCCACAGCTGATAACCACATGACCATATACCCAACAGACTTTTGTGCATGTTTTCATTGGCCAACATGCATGTGTTTGTATGCAATTGCTTGTTTTCACTTTTTCTCTATACCTGTACTACTTAAATGATTTTTTCTTACATGCTTTTAACAGACCCTGATGAAAGCTACATGCTGAAATATATTGGTTTTAACATTAAAGTTGCTCTATACACTGCAAATGTTCCTGAACTCTTTGCCTTTCCAGTGTATTTTTCCTTCACCTGTGCACTTTAGCATCAGGTGAAGACATGCCAGAAATATTTGCTTTGCCTTAAAATAATATCAACTGACGTCACTATTATATAGTATAATAAGGTCCAACCTTTATTTTGCCATTCTGAGCTCCAGTTGTCAGTAGATCAGTGTCCTTACTGAAGCACATACACAGCACAGCATCATCCATCATCATGAAGCTGTCTTGGGCCTGATACTTTAAATCCTAGTTTATTCATGCACATACACACAGATGTGAACACAGAGTAGAAAAACAATGAAATCAACCAAATAAATGGAATAAGAAGAGATCTTTATCATATGAAAAATGTGTTTTCAAACAGTATTTACTTGCTGGAGTCCTGTTCTGTTATTTAACCATGTAAAAGTCTCCTTAAAATGTTTTATTAAAAATCTATGTAAACAAACTAAGACAGCATGCAGCAAGAGCATGAACAATATCCTGTTAAAATGCATAAACAATTAACAAGTATTTCTAAGTGTCATGTTTACATACCTTACTAATTTTTCCAGTATTGAAGTTCCAGACCTCAATGAACCCATCCACTGATCCAGTGACTAAATACTTTCCATCGGGAGAGAAACGTGCACATTCCACACGTGACCGTCGTCCAAACTACAGATTAAATCCAAACAAAGAAATGAGTCATTAACACTCCTCTGCCTCCCAGAAAGCACACTGTCCTATTCAGTTTGCAGCCCATGGTCCAGAAGCACAGAGGAATAAAAAATAAATTATAACCAAGTGACCTCAGGGAGGCATAAAGGTTTCCTGCAGTCTGCTGTTATGTGGGCTGACCACTTTCACTCATAACCTTGGGCAAAGAAAAGCAAGGACGGGAAGCTCAGGCAGCTCCATCTGCAAGTGTTGAAAGCACAGCCAGAGCCTAAGACAAGTGGCTTCAGGTGAGTAAAGCAA